GTCCTCCCCAGCCACATCAGTGGCTGTGACAGCAGGCTGGCTTGAGACACGAGGATAGCTGCAGACAACCTGTGCTATGCCTGTGCCATGCCGTACCGTCCCAGAGCTGGGAGGGCTCCTCTGGCCAGGTCCAGCCTCAGCTCTGCTGCTGGATGTAGTCACCCCCTCCAGGCAGCTCTGGGAGGAGTTTTGTGAACTGGATGGGTGGGTGGGCTTGGGAGAAAGCTCTGTTTTAACAAAACCTGTGTGTTATTCCTGAAGCACCTAGCACACCCTCCAGGCTCTGTGCTACAGGGCTGCCTGCACTCCTTTTCTCCCCTTGGTAACCTGTTATCACTGTCCCCTTTGATAAGAGCGGCTGTGCAAACCCCAGACACATTGTGGGGTGACTTTGCTGTCTCCTTGGGCAGTCGGAGCAAAGCAGCAAGACCCTGAGAACCATGGCACAGGTTCACAAAAAGCCAAGCTGCCCCAGGACCCCCTTTCCCTAGGCAGCTGAAGCATCCCTTGCCCTGGCCTAAGCAGCTCCTCACACAGCAGCTCATAGACCCAAATACCAGTGGCACAGTGGCTCAGCAGCACTCTCACCCTTGGCAAAAGCCATGCCACCTTGCGACTGGAGAAACGAAACATTCAGAGAACAAACTCCAGCAACACGTCATGCTCTATGACACGGCAAAAGCCGAGTGAGGACTGTGCACTGAGCTGTCTTTGTCATCAAGTGATATATTCCTAGGTTGCACAATACTAAGTGGTAATCAGTGTTCAATGAAGAAATGAGCTCAAACTGTGACTTTTGATGCAAATAATCAAAAACTAGAGGGTTTTTTTGCCAAATATAGTGTGATTATCATCTAAGAAAAATGTGTTAGTAGTATGTGAGCCAACCACAAAGTACACTTTGTTTATCAGTTATACGTTCTCATGGTGCAAATAAATATCAAGTGCAAACACATGTTGTTCAAAATAACTTGAGTAGCCTAAAAACAAGGTGTGTAGGTTCCCTCTATAGCCAGGTCTTAGGTATCTAGCTCTCAGAGCTGTCCCAAGACACAAAGCACTGGTGTATCACAGACTCTTTGGCAGTCCAAATTTGCTTAAACATTTTTTGACAAGCACCTTTCTCCCAGCAGGATTCACATGAGATCAGGTGTTTTCTGGCCACCCGCAGTCAACCCCATTGCATGCTCAGCACTTTATGCCCTGGTTAATTTGTCAGAGATGTCTCCATGTGTCAACACCTCGTTCAGATTAACTGTGTACTGCGTGGTGCTCCAACTGCTATTAGCAGCTCCGGGTGCACAGATCTGCTATTAACCACCGGCTTAGCTCCTGCTATACATCTGGATATGTATCTGGAGATACGTGTCCTTCTCTATTGACTGGACAGGCCTGGACAACAGGCATGGACAACTAGCTCAGCCCAGATGCTCAGCTTTTACATGGCTGACATTAGCTCAGGTGAAGCCCTACTAAAAGCTACAAGGCAGCTGGCCTCCCTGTCACTACTGGGAAGGCATCCTGCTTCTTCCTTTTCCTTTCGAGCTTCCCTTTCCCAGAGGCTCCCAGAGATGTGGTCCTGTCCTTTCCCTTGTGCTGGTTCTTCTTCATCCCTCCACTGAGCCCCTACAGCTGACTGCTGCAGGATAAATCTACCCAGATATTTGTTAGGATCAGCCTCTGCCTACTTAGTGAGTTGACTGAATTCGTGCAGTGTAGGACCAGCAAGTGCCAGGATGGGCTGTAGGAAAGGGAATGGGGAGTAGGACCTTCACACAAAGAAATAGGACTGGCTCACCCTGTCTCCTGTACCTGCACCCTAATGCACAGGCAGTGAACCCAGTGGGAGCATGACTCACTGTTTGTTTGGATGTCTGGAGAACAAGTCTTACAAGGAACAGCTAAGGGAACTGTGATTGTTTAGTCTGGAGAAGAGGAGGCTGAGGGAAGACCTTATCACTATCTACAACTACCTGAAAGGAGGTTGTAGCAAGGTAGGTGTTGGTCTCTCCTCCCAAGTAGAAAGCAATAGAATGAGAGGAAATGGCCTCAAGTTGCGCCAGGGGAGGTTTAGACTGGATATTAGGAAAAATTTCTTTACTGAAAGAGTGATCAAACATGGCACAGGCTGCCCAGGGAAGTGGTGGAGTCACCATCACTGGAAGTGTTCAGAAAATGCGTAGACATGGCACTTTGGGACATGGTTTAGTGGGCATGGTGGTGTTGGGTTGATGATGGGACTTGGTGATCTTAGAGGTCTTTTCCAACCTTTATGATTCTATGATTCCTCTGAAAGTAGTATGTCATGGTCAGGTCCACGGTAGCACAAGATTATGGCAGACAGCATCAGGCCCAAAGCTCGCTGTTAAACATCTATGCTCTTGTTATAGGAAACAGAGCTCTGATAAGGTCCATACAGGTAGGTAAGCATCTAACCAAAATCATTACTAAACAGTGTGGATGAAAGAATGACTCACCAGAAGGAATTCAATGCAGAAATATTTACTCACGCAGGAAGGCTTACAGGAGAACAGAAGGCTTCGGAAGGCACCTGAACGGAAATGTCTGTCTGAGGCACCTCTAGTAAATCATTTTAGCCTAAACTTTCAAAGATGTGAAAAACAGTATTTCTGAAGAGCTAGGCTGTTAGATCATTCTGCTTCAGTTTCTCAGTCTTCAGGAGTGATTTCATTAGAAGATGCTTTCAGATCTTTGAATCCGGGCTATTGTTTGGCAGCAGTTACATATACTATCATTATCGGTATGCACCATTTTTATGGATGGATTAGACCTGTCTTGTATCTGTAATTTTTTTTCAGCAGTGTTTTAGGCTTCACTTTGTTCACATTTCACCCAACCCCATAAGCATGCATCTAAAGCTCGGGAAGGTCAGAGTATGGTAATGCTTACCACAGCTTTTGGAAGGCTGGCGTGTTTTAAAGTAGGCATGGTAATGCTTCACTACTCTAAACTGAAGGGATTACTGATTATATGCAGTAAACTTGTCACAGCTGACACTGTTTCATGAACTTGTCACTGCAAGGCAATACAGGTCTTCTATCAATCAGAGGCACGGGTGCCCTCTGGAAACAGAGGCACTCCGGTTTTTACTTTGCTCCTCATGCAATATCTGAAGCTACACACTGGTCACTCCCACTGTAGGACAATACTTTGCTTACTGGCAATGCAAGAGAATACTCAAGTGACACTGGAGGTTTTCTAAGAGAAAGAACATCAGTCTTTCTCAAAAGCAGAGATACAACCTTCTGCCAGCATAACTGGCATATGAACACAATACTTGCATCCATTGGTCTTCTTTCTTGCTCTCCCCAACATGAAACTACACTAGGCAGAATCAGGAAAGGGAGTAAAGCAGATTTCCAGGATGCTTTATGCACTTCTTGTTGCATTTAATTCGGTTTTGGCTGAGCCAAGTTTTAGCTGTTAACAAATGCATCAAACACGTGGGTTGCTGAGTAGTCTGTGTGCAGGTGGGTGCAACATTTAAAGGCTGCTAGTGCAGTGAGCTCCTACAGTGTTAATGGGGAAATAGCCCATTCCTCCTTCTGATGTAAACCAGACCTGGACCGAGACAGGTAAACAGTTTAGTGGTAAGCGGTCAAAGGTCTGGTCTTGTCTTAGCTGTGAAAGATGTTTATTGCAAAGCAGCAGTCCCATTTGTGGTTCATGACAGTTCCTAGATGTGCCGGTCGTTGTAACTCAACAGGGTTTGTTTTTAATAGCCCTTTAAAATATCATGTTACCTATCACCTCTGTTTTCCTCCAAGGTTCATCATTTAGTTTTGTGCTTCATAAAACTCAGAGAGGTCACTGAATGCTCCTCAAGGGGAAACAAACCAAATGAACTCAGGGCTTCCCTTCAGAAGCACAAAGTTGCTACGGTCTGTCTTAGAAAGAGGGGTAATAAAACGTGTCTGCAGAAAATTTGCAGGCAGAAATCTTTGCCCATATATGGTTTTTGTCCAAATCCACACTTTTGATATTCAGCTGCATTGAACCTCTTCCAGTCCTCCATCATTGCTTACATTATTTGACGCAAGCTAATTATTTGACACATGGCATGCAGACAGGGAACAACACGAAAGGACCTTATGCAACTGCAGCTACAGGACCACAGCATAAATTATCCTCCTCAGGAAAAGAGGCTGAGGACATCTCCATTGCTTAAGCACACATTTACACATTAGCATTGTCTAATAAATTCACATGAAAGAGCTGCAACGGGTTCGTGAGACGGGGATGTGGTTTATGGCAGCCCCTGCCCGCTTCCTCCCCAGGGCACAGGGAGGAGGCAGAGGGCAGGGTGGGCATGTGAGGGCTGGTGATGGGTCTCGGGGCCACTCTCAGGTGTGGGGCAGTCACATGTGAACGCCTGCAAGTTCGGTCTGAGACCCTCTGACTCAGAAGAGTCCTGCGGCAGCTGGTCTGCTTCCTATCTGGGGCACAGCACTATTCTTTAGCTATTTGGTGCCTAAAAGAAATCTGCCCTGTTGTGTCTTCTCTGCATTGTCTTCTACACCCTCAAAGCAGCTTCCAACTGGTCATCTATACCCAGTGTAATTTCGAGTATACTGTTCTTAAGTTGTGTATATACGAGAGGACAACATTGCTTTCATAATATTTATGGCCTCTGAAAATACTGGACAAAGGAATTATTGCCTACCCCATACTGTGCACTGGCAGACTCTCGATGACAGACCGAAAGGGCCATAATCTAAGATACTAGCTCTTGTATTTCAAGTGTGTCATACACAAAACAAAAGGACAGCAGAGGCTAAAACAAGAGAGCCAAAGTTTGTTTAGAAACGGCATTTGAGAAACAAAGGTTGTGATGCATGGCTTGACAATTGACAAAGTTAATTAATTATTGGTGTGTGAGTTTTGAGCAAACACTTGGGCTGTTATTTAAGCATGCAGGGAAAGGCAAAGCCCTGGAAAGCAGCTGAGTTAGATAGTTTAATTAGTTGCAACATACAAAGATGCCAACCCTGGATGATATTTTAGAGCAGATCGGAGAATTTGACTTCTTTCAGAAACAAGCCCTCTTTGTCTTATGCCTGTTTTCTGCTACCTTCGCTCCCATTTACGTGGGGATTTTTTTCCTGGGATTCACCCCCGAGCATCGCTGCTTCAGTCCCGGGGTGGCTGAGCTGAGCCAGCGCTGTGGCTGGAGCCTGGAGGAGCAGCTGAATCACACAGTTCCCGAGTGGGGTGGCCATGGCCATGGGGCCAGTTTCAGCAGCCGCTGCAGGAGGTACGAGGTGGACTGGAACACGACGGGCGTCAGCTGCACCGACCCCCTTGGCAGCCTCGTGGGCAACCAGAGCACCATCCCCCTCGGTCCCTGCCAGGATGGCTGGATCTATGACTCCCCAGGAACCTCTCTTGTGACTGAGGTAAGACACAGTTTGTCCAGCAAAATCACTCTTGCCTGCACACCTTGAAGCTAGAAGACGCTGTATTGGTAAAGTTTGCTTTTGGTGCACAGCCTTAGCCTGACTGCTGATAAACAGTGAATATCAGGACTTGCTAGGGACTTAGAACAAAGATATATATGGAAAAATAATGGGAAGTGATTGCTTTTCCTGGGAGGATAATATTGCAAGCTTGTTATCAATCAGACAATGGCTATTCTCATAATTCAGTATTTCAGTCACCAAACTGAGGGAAGCACCCCATAGCCCAAACTGAGGAATTGCACATATGGGTGATAATCCAAACAGACACTCACGTACAATGAACAAGAAGTACAAGATGGGGCTAAATTTGTGAGATAATGAGTTAGCAACAGCAGCGTTCCTTTCTTCCAACTTACGCTATCTAAACCACATAGTTTAGAAAGTGAAAAGCTGTGCAAACCAGTACTAACAGTCTAAATCCATGTAGACACCTGAAGCATAGGAATGACCTCCAGAGACATCTCTTTTACTCCTCCCTCAGTCCCAAATCTGTATTAAATATACCTCAACCATGCCTAGCAGATGTTTCTGTAACCCATTCTTAAAAAACTGTGATGCTGGATACTTCATAACTTCCTCGGGCAGGGTATTCATATTCCCTTGCTTCGCTATCATCACCATTACAAAGCAACTCCACCTCGCTTTCCCTTGGGACAGATGGGTTGGGGCAGAGAAGAGCACTCCCAGCCTTCCTCCACATCAGTCAAGCCAGGGAAACCAATCTGAGCTGTTTGGTATGGCCCCAGCAAACTTGTCTGGGTTAGAAAAAGACTAAATAAGCAGCCAAAGACATTCATACTTCTTTCTGGGCTGAAGTCTAGTTACACCTGAATTAATATTTCCAGCTCTAGAGAAGTTAACACCAGTTTCCCCTCCTCCCCTCGCGGGGTGTGGATTGGTAACCTGTTAATTGTAAATCCAAGGCAAGCTACAGAGTACCGGTTCACTGAAAGAAAAGTCAACCAAATCCTGGGTGTTCTGCCAGTGCTAATGAGGAGCGGGACAGCCATCTCTTGGCTCACCTCCAGCAGGGCTCATGGCAGCCCCACCACCTCTCACGCCCGGCACTGCTGTCACACAGCGAGATAGTACACGATTAGAGACAGACTTTGGCATCTGGGAAGGAAACGACGCTCCAAGCGTCCTCCAAATTTCAAGCAGATGGGTGGGGAGGAGAGGGTGAGATTTTTCTGAACTTTTTAATTTGTTCATTCAAAGCTTCTCTCCCTTTCTCATGTGTCATTGTGCAATCATTTTCCAGGGTGTAACTTTTCCACAAGGTTTGGAAAATCCAGACAAGATGTATTGCAGATATCAGTTTGAGAGATTAGAGGGTTTCTTTTCTGGAGCCTGTTTTCTAGTTGCGTGTCATTGGTTTCCTTCCTCCTCTAACAGCTATGGTTTTTGCTGCATGTTCCAGCGCTTCTAACTGTGGTTGCCCTTGCAGTTTAACCTGGTGTGTGAGGACTCCTGGAAGCTGGACCTCTTCCAGTCATGTGTGAACGTTGGGTTTTTTATTGGCTCCATGAGCATTGGCTACATAGCAGACAGGTATGTGGTATGCAGACAGGTGTGAAATGAACTGGTTCCTCTGGTTACCTGCTTTCTGCATGTCGTTGAACAATACTCACAATTCAAAGAAGAAATGAACACAATTAAAACTTGATTCAAAAGGCCCATGTGTCACTTACAAAGGGGTGGATGGTGGTTCCTAAACCCCTGCTTTCAAAGTCTGTTGTGACCCAGGAATCCATGGAAATGACATGGTGTTGCTCCACTTTTACAGCCTCTCAGTGGCTCCATGGGGAATTTGCACATTCACAACTAAAGAGATTGTGTTTTCTTTCATAGTGGCAAACTGCAATGCAAGCTCAGAGTTTGAGATTAAATTTTAATTCACGCACCAAGAACCATTTGCCCATCTTTGTGATAAATTTGTTTCACATTAATTTTAACAGTATCCAGATGGCCATAAATCAGTTTCAAAATAGGAGAGTTTTTCTCAGATACAGAAATAGAAGAAGTTGCTCCTTCCTAAATTTTCTTTGGTCCCCCTTTTTCTCAGTTTGCTCTGTATGTAGCTGGATCTAGACCTTATTATCCCTCATCTCCTCTTTTCCATCACAAATGTCATTGTGCCATGTATCTGCCCAGTGGGGTTTTATTTTTTAGGTTAGACTCTGAACAAACGTAATGCTTTGTAGCTGACCTTCCTAAACATGTTTACCAAATTTTTCAGTAAAAAGAGAGGCTGAGACTGGAATTTGAAGAGGTGAAGGTAACATGGGGTGAACAATCCTTCTGTAAAGTCAGTCTGTCCTGGAGAAAAATTTTTTTGCTTTGTATTCTCAGAACATAGGAGAGTACAATGAGCAGCAGCCTTTTCCTCCCATGCTCATCAGGCCCCAAAACCATGTCTGTGGACAGATATTGCCACCATTCCCTTCTTTTCACTTTCCCCCTCCTCCAAGGGGGAAGGTCTAGGGGAAGGGGCACAGCAACCTCCCGTAGTACTTCTGCAGTGTCACAAAATAAGCATGGGACTGTGTTTGTCCTGCTGGTCCCTGCTCTCATGTTTCACTGCTACCACAGCCCTAGCTAACCCTAAGCTGTCCCTCCACACAGATCAACCTGCTTATGAAGAAGGTCACTTGGGCATAGATTGGACAGACTGCTTTCCAGTCCTCAGTAAACCTTTACTGCCAGCGAACCAGACCATGGAGTTTTTTAAGGTTTCTGCTTAAACAGATTTTTCATCAGAAGATAGTGGTCTATCAAAGTAACTCCTTTTGGCTGCATCTTGTGTGCAGTTTGCAAAAAAGCTCTCTCAGGTGAAAGACATCAAATGGCTACAGTGGTACTGCAAAGATCCTGCATCCGTCTTCAGTCTTGGGCTGGACTCCATGTCTGATTCCAAGGACAAAGGTTGACACACGCCAATTTTTGCTTTTCTTCACATGCATTTTGAAAGTCGTTGGTTCCTTTATTGCATCAGAAACATACATCAGCCCCCCATCCTCTCTGTTACTTAAATCCAAATTCTTGTTTTCTGGCCAATCTTCTAGTGAATTTGAAGTATTCCATCCTTTTTCCCAGAAGGAATGGATAATAACGCTCAGATAATTATGCACAGCTTATGGGAGCAAAGGAGAGGATATATAGCAACTACTCACCCAGGCATGACGGAACATGAAATAGCTGTAAGCAGATCCCACGACCATCAGAGGCACCACTCTTCAGATCACCTTTTCAGGACAGAGGTGGATTAAGCAATCATGCTCACTAGCAAAGGCATTTCTTGGCAGCGTATGGTTGTGCAAGCCAACAGAAACCAGAGCTCCCAAACCCACAGCCATTTATATCTGAAATGCTCTCTCTCTGTGTCAAAATACTGAAGGATCTTTTTACCAAGGCTTATTATCAAACAAAAGTATGAAAAGACATGAGGGAGTAGGATATCATTGCTGTTAAGATAAAGCACATGCATGTCATAGCTTCAAGGGCTTTTCTACTGCTCTACTCACTGCCATCCTGCCCCAGTTCACCGTGGTCCCTGCATTGCAAGCACTCAAGAACAATACAAAACCCCATACCAAAGACAGTGTTGTGCTTAGGGCAAAAACAAATCCAGAATCAAATTTAAGAGAAGGAATGGGGAGTAGGCCCATGAATTCTGTGTTTCCTGGATTTGAGATACCCATCCTCTTCTCGTCAGACAGCGTGAGTGCAGCTGGAGTCTTCCCGTGCATGAGATGATTCCTGCAACATGCTGTACTCAGGACAACTTCTGCAAACCTTTCAAGTGCTTCGGGGGAGGTTTCAAAAGCTCTTTCCAAATGTGCTTCTCTCTGAGAGATTAGACCTACTCATTTACTTGATTGGTGTCTGGGCAACTGGTGCTGACTTTGACATTCAAGAGTCATAGGTGTCTTGGAAATGGCACCCCTGTGTCCTTAGAGAGCTCCTGAGGTCAGTGCTAACATGCAGCATTGCACCTCTGCCCTTCAGAGCTGGGGCACCGGGAAAGGCCCTTTGCAGGAGAGGGCTCCTCTCACGGTCTGATGAAGCTCTCTTGGGCTGGACTTCAAGGCAAGTCAAAAATGCCTGTATGTCAGGCTCATGACAGGAGGAAAGTTTGAGTGATGAGATCTGCTGATGTTATTGTAGAGAACAGAAGAAATTTATTTTGGCTGGCATTTATTATTGTGCTATTTTTGTTAGTGGGCATGGACAAATTTAATGTTTTTTATAAAGCATGCTTTTAACTGAATATGTATCTCTGTCAGCTAGAAAACAAATGCCTTTCCATTGTTCCAGTAAGCCTGTTTCTTTTGGAAATAATTTATTTCTGATTATCAGTGAGTCATGGTGATACAGGGAATGACAAATAACAGGGATGTACAAAGCCATCTTCAAGAAGAGCTCAATAGTCCACCAAGGTTGATGAGAAAATAGGTAAAGAACAGTTATCAAAAAAAATCCCCTTTAAAAAGCTATTGCAGCTTTGAAAGATGAGCCGAAGAGCCATATTAGAACATTTCTTGAACTCATTAGCTAAGTCATTAACCAGAAGTGAGCAATGACCTGAAAACACAGGGCGGGGGAGTCCCCTAAGCTTCCATTGAGATGAAAAATGCTGCAAAGGGAAGAGCAGATACAGACTCCTACTCAAAATGAACAGAGAAGAGGGGGACAGGCACCATCTCCAGCCTCTCTAAACCCTTTGGTTTGCCACCCTGCTCTGCTGGCAGCTGAGCCTCTTTCTTCTCTTCTCTTCTTTCCCTCCACAGGTTTGGCCGCAAACTCTGCCTCCTGGTCACAGTCCTCATCAATGCGGTCTCAGGGGTTCTCATGGCCTTTGCACCGAGCTACAGCTGGACAGTGGTCTTCCGCCTGATACAGGGACTGGTCAGCAAGGGAGGCTGGCTGACAGGCTACGTCCTCAGTTACGGCAGCTTGCAATTACACTTCCTGGGCAGGAACCCTCTGGTTTAGGGGGGTTTAGCAGCCGGGCTGACCCCCACTGGTGCCATCCAGCTGGAGCCGCGTGTAACAAGAGTAGACAGTGGCACCCTGCTATTTACTGCCAAACTGCACCTCTTTGCTTAAATGCAGGTGTTTATGACCCAAGCTTGCACCAGCTCATACACATAAATGGAAAAATTAGGAGGCAGCTCTGAAAACTGGGGAGCATTCATACCTGGAGAGGCACAGTCCAAAACGAAGGACAAAGTCTAGAGACAAGAACTAATTGAAAATGTTGAGAAGATGTATGACCCTTTTCTAGGAAAGGCAACAAGTGGTGCTGTGAGAGGTAACACTTGAGTTTCACAGCCTTTGTGCCAAAACAACCTTTGCTGTGCTGTTTCACATGTTTGGTGGGGAGGAAGACATTGTTTCCAAGCCGTACGGGAGGAGGGAGATGGAGGCAAGCAAGCGTCAGCTGTCTGTTTTATTTTCCCATTTAGTTCTTAGCTAGAGGGAACGGGAGGAAGAAAGCCAGCTTTGCCCTGTGTTGATGGGTGAGGGCCTGACACCCTTGAAGGCAGGGGCAAAGTTCCCAGGTGACCAGTGGAGGAGGAAGGGTCAGGACTTGCCCTGTGCTCTACGCCAGGGACCCAGCCCTGATCTGCTTTCCCATCCAAGCCCACACCCGCACACCACGCCGTGAGGGCACGGCTGAGCACGGGGGCTCTGCGTGGTTTTAGAGCTTTGGAGTCCCCCCCGGCTCCCCAAACCGATTTATTTTCTCTGCGCCTCATGCAACTTGTCCTTGCAGTTGCAGAATTTGTTGGCTCAAACTACCGGAGGGCAGCGTGCATCATTTACCAGACCGCCTTCACTCTGGGACTCCTCATCCTCACCGCCCTGGCTTACGCGCTTCCGCACTGGAGGTGGCTCCAGCTCACGGTCACACTGCCCAGCGTCTTATTCCTGCTCTACTACTGGTAAGTGCCCACTGTGACAGCCGCCAGCAACAGGCGGCCCAAAACAGGGGACCGCAGCTGGGAGCAGAGGCTGCTTTGTAGGGATCGGCCGTAGCGCTACCGGAAGCATTTCCAAGACAACATCGGATCAGATCTGGCAGTTTTCTGTTGTTCTGTTCCACCTGCCCAGGGCTTTAGTCTGAATCACCTAAGAGCAAGGGACTGCCTGCAACGTGTTGTAATGCTTCTGTGTTTGGAGCCCTTGCCACCCATCACAAACTAATACATCGTTCTTTCTTGAACAGTACTTGAGCTACTCTGACAAATTATTTTTTCTAATCATTGATTAAAATTGCTTTTTTTAAAATGAAATCAACAGACTTTTGTTGACTGTTCACAAAAAAAAATGAATGAAAATGATCCTTAGAAAATTTCATAACCAGATCAGGGAACAGATTTGGGAGAGCTTTTTTGTTTGGGTTTGATTTTTTTTTTTTTTTAAGTTTATTTTTAACATAGAGAAGCTGAAGGATCAGGTTTACAGCTGTTATTTTCTATGTCCACAGACTATTAGCCATTTCTAAAACATGCCAACAGAATTTATCTCAGACTAATGTTTCCAAACTACAATAAACTGGTTTTAGCCTTAAAGAAAAAAAAATCAAGCTATGTTGTCATTCAAGTGGAGCATGAATCAGAGTGCAATCAGAGACAGACACAGCTACCACTCAGTTCAATACCACCGCTGGATACTCAATACACAATAGGATCCCTGCCTGAAAAACTCATTTTCATTCTCTGTGTACCAGTAACGCGCATTTTCCTTCCCCGTAGCGGTCATGCCTATATGTCTTGCAGGTGTCTGCCTGAGTCTCCCAGGTGGCTCATAGCTCAAAAGCAAAATGACAAAGCTATGGAAGTTATTAAGCACATCGCCAAGGGAAATAAGAAGAAGCTACCTCTCTCTTTCCAGGTGACTGCACTGCATTTGCTGCGTATATGCAAACCTCGAGGCAAATAATGTTATGAGTTTAGGATTGTTTTGGGGTTAGAGTAGGGAGTAGATTGGCAACCAAAAGCACTGCAGTTCCCTAAAGCAAAGGCAAGTGAATTTTCTTCTCTTTGACTGCCTGGCACCCTCTTAGAGCATGTTTAAGAAAAGAGGTTTGCAAAAGTGGCCAGCAGATAAGAAAAATTATTCCTTTGAGTAGTATCAATCAACAGTAAACCTGACAAATCTCATGACTTAAAATTTCAGAACATCCTTATTCATTTTTTTTTAAATGCTGCTTCATGCCATGCAACAACCTCATATACGTGCCTACACAGATATGAAGACTATATAAGTTTCATGTTTCCTTTCCCCAAAACACTCCGGAGAAGTTATTTTGCCCTCAGTTACTTAACTGGCAAATGAAAACCCTCATCCTCCCATTAATCCAGATGAACATAGCCATTGTAGTGCTCACCACCCTCTCCCCTGCCCACTGTAAGCTCTTGTCCTGTCGCTTGTACTCCCAGAATCTCAACTCTGAAGAGGAAGATGGAGAAAAGCTGAAACCTTCATTTCTAGACCTGGTCAGGACACCTCAGATCAGAAAACACACGTTCATTTTGATGTACAGTTGGTAAGGGAAGGCTTTTGCAGCCCAAACGGAGGTGTGTGATTTGTTGCCTTAAATTGTTATCATTGATTTAAACCTGTTTTGTTCACAGCCAGCTGCAAATCTCAGTTCTTTGCATAAACTCTCTCCCAAAGGGTTTGGCTTCATTTGCACCCTGTTCTCTGCCCAGGTTCACGAGCTCCGTCCTCTACCAGGGCCTCATCATCCACATGGGAATAGCGGCTGGGAACATGTATCTGGACTTCCTCTATTCTGCTCTCGTCGAGTTCCCAGCCGCCTTCATCCTCATGCTAACACTGGATCGCATCGGCCGTCGCTACCCCTGGGCTGCGGCAAACGTGATGGCAGGTGGTGCTTGCCTCGTTACAGCATTAGCCCCAGACAGTGAGTCATGCAAACCTCTTCCGTCGACAAATTCTCTCCCTGTCTCTTGGTTATTGCCCTGGAAAATGGAAATCAACCCTTGCTGAACTGGCCCGTGTCAGTACTGTGATCCGGTGAAGACCAATGCCATAAAAGCTAATGCATGTCCTGCCATCAGCATTTATGCCAGCTAATGAGAGGCTGGAGAAATGGGGTGAATTAGATTTCCAAAATGGCATCAAATCAGATGGCAAGTCTGCAGGCACTAGATCATGAAGCATGCCATATTAAGTCCACAATTTTTGTCTGGCCTAAACTTTGGATTTGAATGCACAGGGGTTTTTTTCATCCAAAAACCCTCATGTTTTCTGTTTCTAAAAAGGAAAAATGCATGGGCACGCATGCGCACTTGAACACCATCTGGGTACAGTAAGTGCTTCTGCCATCAACAGTGCTGCTGCCATGAATGTAGGGTGTTGAGCAACCATGGTGACAGGCACTTGGCTTTTGTTAGCTAAGCATTCGCTCCAAGGCCATAGTCTCAAAGCAACATGTCCCTTAAGGGCCACCGGATGAAACATCGTTCCTTTTTCTATATGGAATACAGCCAGGCTGAAGCCACAGACATAGCAGTGCCGAACAACTACCAGTTCATGGGGGGACAAGGACAAAACCACAAAACGTTACAGAAAAATGTCGTAGGCAAAAAAACCCAAAGCGCCCAGACAACGGAAACACATTTTAACCAGCGCCTGGGGAGTGCAGGGGCCGTGCAAGGGGCCGCTGGG